ATAGCGGGTTGGTCATTATGGTGACGACTTTAGTCATCGACAGTCCCGTGACCAAAGACATCTGATCGTTAATTTTATCACGGAGTAACATTGTAAGTTCCTTTCTTTTGCATGCCATCCTCAACGAGTTCTTCTGTTCAATCAGCTTCATTTGTGAACGTTTCATACAGGCGATGGATTCATTCAACGGTAATATTACTGAAAAGTCTTTGGTCTTCCTGAATTTTCCGATTAGTTTTCTTGTTTTCAGGTGCCTCCAGGTGTCACTTGCATTTGTAGCACCAGAGATGGCGGGTTTATCATGTGCGACAAGTACAATCATAATATATGGATCTTTCCCCAGCTCGCCATGCGAGTAATGTTGAACCTGGTTGACTTGCCCCTTGTCTGGTAGGCCTGGTGCACAGCTACAGGATAAAACATGTCATTCATAAACTTTTGTCTGCATCCTCTATCCTTAACCAACAGTGCTCTCCATTTCGTCGCGATTTTGACAGACTCACTGATGTATAATCCCCAGCTGACTGTGAGTGTACCTTGGAGACCAATCAGCACCGTATTTCTACTCTCGCTATCGATTGAGAGTTGGTGACATTTGATTGGCTGGCTAGCTAATCTGTCTACGCTGGTCGATCGCCTCATCCCATCATGTCTCTGTGCAAATTGTCTTGGTACCCTGCGTAAGCGGCAAAATTACCATGAAAATCACCAGCTGAATGTCAAGATAATACGTCAGATAACCACACCATCTGTGCCAGCTGCCGAGGTCCCGGATAACCCATTATTTTCTGCCCCATGCGAATACCTATGCAATGCTTCATGTTTTTCTTGAACCTCGCACCGTGCGTATCGAGATTTGCTCCTAATAACCTTATCTGACACCTGCTCCTACTGACTATTATGCTATTCATTGTTTTCTCGTCATGTGGTGTCATTCCAGCACCTGCTATTAGATACGATCGCGCCGACACTGTATACTATTTGAAATGATTTGGAAAACTGGTAGCTCATGTTCATAATTCAGTTGCTTATTCGTTCACCGAGCTGGGAAATTTGTCTGCAAACGTTTCACCGCCATACGACATGGCATCATCAGTGCGTCGAGATGTGAAGTGTAGCCTCGCTGATTGAATTGTCGATCCGTGATCGGCATGCAGGTGACTTTGCGACAGTAATGGCTTCGATCTGTGTCGCATGACCTCTACCCCGTTCCCCGTGGAGGAAGTCGTCGCTCGAGTTGTTCTTATTCAAGCGACATCTCGTAATTTCTCTAAGTACTTTTTGGCGGACGGGCTGGTAAACTGGGCCAATCTCGATATGCATGTTGATGGAATCTTTTGTTGACAACCACGCTTCCAAGAACTCCATTTCTCTTCTTGTTTCGTCCCTTGCCAGGACTTCTGTTTTGGCCCAGTCGAAGCTGTCTTCTTTTTCGTCCACGTGTGCTGAGACTAGCGATGATGCATAGTGTCTTTTGCACGCAAGAGGCGAAACAAGAAGAGAACTGGAGTTCATGGAAGCGTGGTTCTCAACAGAAGATTCAATCAATATGCATATCGAGATTGGCCCAGTTTACCAGCCCGTCCGCCAGAAAGTACTTAGAGAAATTACGAGACGTCGCTTGAATAAGAACAACTCGAGAAACGACTTCCCCCCCCCTGGGGAACGGGGTAGAGATCATGCGACACAGATCGAAGCCGTTACTGTCGCAAAGTCACCTGCACGCCGATCACGGATCGACAATTCAATCAGCGAGGCTACACTTCACATCTCAACGCACTGATGATGCCATGTCGTATGGCGGTGAAACGTTTACAGACAAATTTCCCAGCTCGGCGAACGAATAAGCAACTAAACTGTGCACTACGCTTAGGTGTCCCACCACATATAGCTACTTGGGACATCCTCCGGTTACATGGAGTCATTCCCCGTGTCGTTCCCTGCATCCCCATTTGCCCCGAGACACATTTCACTCGGCATACTATGCGGTGTAAAGCGAACCAGTTGCGTAAGATTGTTGGACCATTAAAGGAGCCGAGTCAAGTCCGCTGCCAGATTGCATTTTGTGATGCAGTTGTGCGGTGGCAATTGATTCGATACACTTATTGATATGGCTAGGAGCCGATCTCAGTGGCGTTCGTGCTGTGAGTTTCTTTGTCCCATCCCACCCCTCTTAGCCTCTCTCTCCAATCACGATCTTACTGTTTAGCCTTTTATAATTTTGCACAGTAAATTTTTGCCATGTAGTAGCCGACTGGTAGCTTACCGGAACGATGCCCATCCGTTACCGGTAGCTCAGCTGACTTGCACCTGTTGCATTTTTTCTCCTTTTTTTCTTTTATGTATGGCGGCACAGTACC